AGAAAAAAGTGCCAAGTAAAACCCACAATCTCTTATTGCAGGAGCAGAGGGCATGAAACTTGACTTATCCTTCATTTAACAGTGGCAGAAGAACAGCACTGTTAGATGTTAACACCTCTTCTGTTTGCATTTTAAGCTTATTGAGGAAAAGAGATGCTCAAGGAGACAATAAACTGCAGCTTTTAAAGCATTAGAAACACAGCTCTTCACCAGGGCCACAGCAATTTTTATTTTCTTCAGCAATACAATAGCAAAAATAGTCAATGTGAGATTCAAAATCAAATAGCTACAAAAATTATAGTGAGAAATTGAAAAACTGCAAGATCCGTAACCAGATGAAGCTCCACAACTGAAAGGAAAACTACCAGGTGTATGCAACCCCTCCAAGAACTGCATTTGATTCTACAAACAGTTTGCCAGTGTTCTGTAAGGCTTCACTGCTTTTTCCTCTATAATCTCAACAGGATTTTAGAGCAGGAAAGATGTGACAATCAGTGAGAGGAATGGGGCTGTGTGAGAATGCAGCCCCTCAAAAATGGGGGGAAGAGGACAATAACTCTGGTTTACATTAATTTAGCTCCTTCTAGGAGGAAAGTTAACTCCTGCTTAGTCAGGAGTAGAAAAGAAGTCAGTGCCAAGAATGGGAAAGGGTTACAAGAGCAGCTGCTGCCCCTCATCTTTTCTAGAAGGATAAAAACCCATTTCAGTGCATTTCCCCTGCAGGCAGGCAGGGATGGCACAGAGCTCCTGGGGGCTGTGAGTGCAGCCCTGGGCTAACACAGCTCCAGGTAAACTGGAATTCAACTCCAACACACAAAACTCAAGTTTTCAGCATCAATTCAGCCAGCCAACTTCTACCTTTTTTAACAGGAAGACATTAGGGCAGGTAAATCAAGGTAATCTTCCTTCTCTTAGGATCAATGATGAGATCTTGAGTCTAAAACAACAAAACCTTTTCTGTGGGGTGGAAAGCTCAGTGTGCAAACAGGTGCCTTTCACACCCCACTGACACACACACAAACATAACAGCTCTGCAGCATCAATAAATCTTTATCCAGAGGAGGTGCACACTGCTAAAAACATCCTCTTAAATGCTCAACTGATGCTCTTGAAGGACTGCAAACCACAGAAACCTGGGGTCTTCTTCTGATCCTAACAGCAGCTGTGTCAGGGTAGATGCTAATGGTTCTTCATCATCTTTCTTTAGAGAATTTGTTTTTAAAAACTGAAAAAAGGTCATTTATTATTTAATTGTCCTGCTTGAGCACACAAACTTCAGAGGTAAAGAGGTGCTGGTGGTCAGGCAGTGACCTGGCAGGGATGTTCCCAATTACAGCCTGCTTTATAAATTACCCTGGCAGAGCAAACATGCATATCCAGCCTTTTCTTTTTATTGTCATTTACAAGCTGCACCAACCCACTGGACTGAGATGTTAAATTACCCAGGGGGCTGCAGAGAGCTCTCCTCCCACTCTGCTTTGCCCACACAACAACCTGCACCCCACTCCCGGCAGCAGGCACCAAAAATTTCATATTAAACAAAGAAAAAGTCATTACAGGAATGCTAATATTTTAGTAATGAGCTTTTGATGTGAAAACTGCACCACCCAGGGCCACACCAAGGGCTATTACCTGCTCCAGCATCACACAAAAATCAAGTATCTCCCCCATTCTGGCAAAACCAGACCCTGTTTTCATAGCTTTAAAATCCAACTCTCCTCAAGCAGCAGGACAGATGGACAGGTGGCACAGACACATCCAGGTGACGGCACTGAGCTTTAAGAACGCAGGATAAAATCAAAATATTTTGCAATAACCAGGGGAATAAACAGTAATTTCTACAGCTAAATTTGCTGGTTTCTCCCTGTAAAACACTCCACAGTAATATGTCATTAGAACAGTGTTTTTCATCTTGCACATTTCACCAGGAATGCTAAGAGATGCCAACTCCAACAAATGGAATGTCTTCAAATGCAGAGATGCGTGATCCTTCTGCAAATGAACTATGAAAATCTGTATGCTTGCAAGCTAAACAGAATTTATCATTTACTGATCCACCCTGGATTGGATTAGACAGGAATTGCTCCTTATGTAGTCAAGTACTGCAGTTCACTGGAAATTACTGTCCTGACCTCAGCACAAGCAAAAGGGATGCTGGACATGCTTCACATTAAGCCAGACTGTGGAAAACCAGTTGATTTTCCCCACTAGTGTACTCCAATGAGAGGTTTACAGCTACAAACAGCTGTAATTTATTATATTTTACATTTCACAAAAGGCCTGAACATGTTGAGCAGTAATACTCTTCAGAATTGTCAAGGCCTATTGAAGTGAAATATGCTTCCCACATCAGGAGCATGGCACTGTGATTTCACCAGGGCTAGAAAAGCAGTAGGATTGATTTTTTTATTTTTTTCAAACAGGAATAGTGAGAGGAGAGTTTTTAGAATAGTTAATACCAGGGTAGCTCATTACCACTTGAAATGTTGGGGGAAAAAGAAGCTGGATTTAACTGTAATGTTTCAACAGGGCTCAAACCACTTTTTTCAAAGCTACAGTAAAATTCAAGATTTCTCACTTCTCTGTTAAAATTAACTGTACAAGTGGGTTTTTCCTCAACCATAGATCTCAAAACCAAGGGAACAGGACAGAAATAGATCTATAGGAATCGTAGGAGATCTGCCCTTACCTGGTGCCTCTCACAGTGCTGTGTCCATCACCCCTCAGACAGAGCAGCTCTGGCCTCCAGAGCTTCCTTTATGCACCACACAAGGGGCTTACTAGGGTTAAAAACTGCTTTATTTAGTTTTCTTCATTTAAACCCAGTGTAGAGGGACTAATCTGGAAGAGCTGAACCAGTTCAGCCGTTCTGGACTCATTCTGCTGGGCTCAGGAAAGCAGAGAGAGCTGCTCACACACCTGGAGCCCTGCTCCATCCTGGAATTGCAGAATATCGGGGGGCACAAGGGTCCCCAGGGTCTCAGGCAGGTTGGTGGCACTGTATTTCAGTAGATATTTCAGTAGATATTTCAATAGTCAGATTTCCCTTGCACAGAGATTTTTTCCAGCTCCTTCCTGCTCACACCTCCTTGCCATCACAGGCAGTGCTTCCCCCTCACGCTGCAGCTCAGAAATGCACGATTTGTATTTTCCAGCAACCAAGAACTGGCTGACAAAAAAAGAAAACACAGACACGTCTGGTTCTCCCTGCTTTTCTCCTATCACCACTCACTCCCAAGCCTTTTGCAGCCCACAGCTCATTTTCTGGGAGCCCCCAGCTCTGCAGTCCAGATTTTAAGCGTGTCATGATTCAGTCAAACACAGATAAAGTTCCTCCTGTGTGCAAGCAGGATTAAGAAAACACAGAAATACATGTCCAGGTTTCAAATCCTGGCTGTTCCCATTAAATGGGTTTCTCCAGAAGAGAACGAGCTGCAGGTGGGATTGTCCAGGGCTGAGCACAACTTCAGCAGCTCCCACTGCTGCCTCCCCCAGCTGGAAGTGCAACACCTCGGCCAGCTAATTAATTATTCTTGACATTAATTAATAGATTAATTTTTCAAGAGAAAAATACCTGGATGTTATAATCTGTTAAAAATTCCTACACTAAGCTGTGCCAAATGAAAGTATTACTTATTTTAAATAATATTATTGTACTTTATAACACTTAAAAAGTGAAATTTTAGAGGTATAAAACTGACTGCTGTTTAAAAATAAAACCAATACTGTAAACACTATGACCGGCATTTCAACTGACCAAATTTCAACATGCAGATTTTAACTTTACACTAATAAAATACCACCTAACTCCACCAGCTGCCCACCACCTTCACTCAATCAAGACTGAGAATCCATAAGATTTTTGAACTCTTGCCACTTCCCCTCACTCTGTATTAAGTCTTTTCTTTGTATTAGCACACTAAAACAAAAATAAATCAATATAAATAAATTTCAGTTGACTGGAGTAAAAGCCCAAAGGTTTTTTCCCCCCTTCCCACTCTTGTTACCCCAGCAGTGCTCTCGTGGGCACATTTCTGTTTAAAAGGCCATCAGCTCTGATCTGGTTTTCATCTGTCTCAGTGGACCAAGAACTGTGTGGCTTTTTGAGCTCTGAATCAGGAAAGAACTTCTCAGCTTATGCAAACCTGCAGCCTTTACCTAATCCCTTCCTGGTTAAGGCACATTACAAGGTATCACTGGTAATTATTTCATTTTTTCCTGCAATTCATTTTCCTGCATCACATCCTACAAAATGTGGACCATCAAATCTCCAGCGCAAAGTTTGGGCTACAATTCTAAACGGCTTCACTAAATCAAAGGTGGAGATGTTGGCACAGGAGGGAACTACAGCTCTTCCAATTTCATTTTCCTGCATTCCAGTTGTTTTTCAATGGGCTAATCACTGAGTGAACTATCCCTGCTTTGGCTGAGACAGGGAAACTTCAGCTGCAGAGCTGTAAAACCAACCAAAAATACCTGAAACAAGAACTGCTGTCACTGCAGATATATTTTAAGGTCAGCAGCAACAGAGCACCAAGGCAAGTCCATTTCCAGAGCCAGTTCCTGTGGCACATTCAGTTCTGAAGAACCAAAACATTAAATTCCTAAGCTTCTCCAAACCAAAGTTAATTTCAGATATCCTGCCATTTAACCCATCCTGACATCACCCATGCACAACAGGAGCTTAAGCCAGGCTTGCATCACACAGGTCCCTTGAAAAAGTCATTTTTCATCACTTGTATCTCCAGCAGTGTTCAACTTCCATGTGTGCATGAACCCCAGGGGACTCTAATGCACTGTTCCCTGGTTTCCCAACATGAACTGGGAGCTTATGGGTCTGACAGCACAACAAGACAGACCTAGCTGCAAGCTGAGCACCAAGAAGGATAAAAAATTACTTTATACTTGAACAAACTTTCAATTTTCCCTGATTTTCTAATAAACCAAGACCAGGCTTATAATTCTTTCTCATGTCATCCAAAGTCAGGAGGGATGCTCACCTCCAGCCCCATCACTCCTCATCACTGATCCCTTCCCTGTCCCTGCAGGTTTGCTGGCTCCTGAGACTCCTCACACCACTTGAATACACAAAAAAAATCTCACTTGCGAACTGCAGTTAATCTGTGCCTTCTGGTATCAAAGAAAATCCTGATGAGCCCTTCCATACACATAAAACCACTGGCTTATGTCATTTGTAAGACTCAGCCTCTTCCAGGAAGAACAGTAAAAAGATTGAATCTATTTGCAGAAACCTCCCGTTGCTGTATCACAACAACATTAAGATGTTCTTGTGGTATTGCAATGGGAAAATTCCCACAAGAACATAAACATAAACAACATCAAAGACAGCAAAGCTCGCTCAGAAAAAAACAAACAACCAAAACCACCGCCCCTGCACAAGTGGTTGGAAGCATTTGTGGGTGGAAACTTCAGAAGCATTATAGAAAAGTGACAGGAAAATATGGCACTGCTCCTTAGCTACGGTGACGTGATCTTGAGGAATTTAAAGAACAAGTCGTTTAGGTAGGTCCATATTTCACATCCAGCTCAAGGGTTTGCAGGGTGGGTGGGTGCACGCTCGGATTTCTGGACAAGACCCCAACTTAGGTGACCAACACTGGAGCTGAGTGAGTGGCAGAACCACAGGAGTCACCACCAGAGCTTGTCACCATCCCACAGCAGCTCCAAACCCCCAAAATCCAGTGGTTTAACTTCTTTAACACAGGAAAAAAACAAGCTGCGGATCAGCTAGACAGCCCCTGTTCTATCCACCGAGGTGACATCCACAAAACCCACTCTGGAAAAACCCCACAGCCACTGGCAGCCGGCAGATCCTGCGCTCCCAGCAGCACCTCCCACTGCTTTACTGCAGAAAACAGAACTCCTTCCATCCATCCCCTGCTGGGCAAGGGATCAAGAGGCAGAAGCAGAGGGAGCAGGGATCTTTGGGAGGGTACTCTGGAAAAACCCCACAAGCACTGGCAGCTCGCACATCCTGCGCTCCCAGCAGCACCTCCCACTGCTTTATTCCAGAAAACAGCCCAGCTTCCAGCAGTGCTTCCATCCATCCCCTGCCGGGCAAGAGGGTAAGAGGCAGAAGCAGCAGGAGCATGGATCTTTGGGAACCCTGGAAGAGCCAGCGTGGCAGGACAGCGCTCACAGCACCTTCAGCTGCAGCCCCAGCACCAAGTCGGCAGCGCTTTGGCAAGAGTTAAGCACCTTCACCAATCATTCCCCTCAAATGATTTCACAAATGCATTTGCCAGATTACTGTGGGAAGTCTCTTGCATGATAAACAACTTTCTGGAACAATTCCACATGGGTAGTAACACACTTTCAGTGCTTACAAGTTCAGTATTTCCAGTCCTGATTTTAGTGTTTCGTTCATAATTTCCCACGTACATTTCAAAAATACATCACTGAACAAGCCTGGCATGCAGCTTAAGCTGGAGTTCAAGTTTCTCTTGCAAAATACAAAAGTCAATACTTTGGAGAGTTTCTTGTTCTTCATAAGGTCTTGGTTTTGATTTTGGCACTCAATAGAAATACTGACATTCTTCCCCCCGTGTAAAACACAACAAAAATCAGTATTGATTCTGTGCATGCGTCAGTGGCACCAATAAGGCAAACCTAACTGACCAGTTCCCACCCAAGGCTATCCCTGGATCACTCCCCATCAGGAACGGGCAGCTCTCCCTCAGACGCCTCCAACAAAATGGTGCTTAGATTTGGGTTAACCACAGCAGGCACCACGCTGGACTGCCAACAAGCTGACACACGACAGTGCTGGAGACACCAGCAGCTCGCACCCAGCCAGGTATGAGCCATGAAGTTGCAAGGGAAGGCAGATGAGCGGCCAGAGAAGGAGCGGCAGAGCCGGGAGCGCTGCAGGGGCTGCCGCGGGGAGCGGAGGCAGCGGCTGTGCCGAGCCACGGCTCAAACTTGGGGCCGGCTCGCTCCGCTCTGCCCGGCTGACAGCAAAGTTCCGCCCTGGCCACGACTCGGTCAAACCCGAACGGCCGAGGGGGACGTGCAGGAAGAGCGAAATTCTCATTCGAGAGGGAAAGGGAAGCGCTTTTCAACAAGCGTTCACTGGCGCGGTGCGGGGGCTGTTTCAGACCAGCACCGCCACCAGAGCTGGGGGCGAGCCCCCGTGCGCGCCTTCTCGCATTCAAGACAATTAGCACTTAATTAAAAGCAAAGCCAGAGCCTCTCAGATTTAGAACTTGAGCAACTCCAGACTCAGAACAATTTTACAGGGGAAAAAAGCCCAAACCCCGTGCAAACGCTCCGACCGCCGGCAGCCGCACGCTCCAGCGCCGCCGGACCCGGAGCGCATCCCCAGCCCCGGAGAGCCACGGGCGGCCGGCGGAACCCTGGCCCCGGGACAGACGGACTGGGGGGGACAGCAGCTCCCAGCAGGTGGGCGAGGAGCCTCGCAAACGCCACCAGCCAGGATCAGCCAGGATCAGCCAGGCGAGCAGCGGCACGTATCGAGCGCCCGTGCCTGGCGCTGCATCCCCCGAGCCCGGAGCGGTGTCTGTGTCCCCGGTGCCGCTGCATCCCCCGAGCCCGGCAGGGACGCGCCCGGAGCGGTGTCCGTGGCCGTGTCCCCGGTGCCGCTGCCCCGCTCCATCCCCCCCAAGGGATGCGGGGGGCTCTGCGCTCCCCTCACCGCTGCCCAACTTTGTTCCCCGAAGTTGCCCACCTGCAGCCGAGCCGCTCCGGCCGCCGCAGCGCTGTCCTTCCCCGCGGAGCCAGCGCCGTAATCCTGCGGCTCCCGCGGCTCCCGGCGCCTCTTCTGGAGCGGCGCTGGCCGCGCTCCCGGCGGCGGGGCGGGCCCGGCGCGATCTCCCGCCCACCGCCCCTCACGGCTCCTCAACTCACCGCCCCGGGGCCGTACAGCCCAGCCCGGCACAGCCCGGCACGGCACAGCCCGGCACGGCACAGCCCGGCACGGCACGGCACAGCCCAGCCCGGCACAGCCCAGCCCGGCACGGCACAGCCCAGCCCGGCCCAGGCTCTCCGGACACGGCCGGGCCCGCCGGCGCCGGGGATGCTCCGCTGGCGGCGGCCGCGGTTTCCCCGGGAGCCCCGCTGGACGCACCCGCTCAGGGAGGATGCGCTGCCGGGGAAAGTTGAGGCGTTATGGCTTAAATGAAAACTGCATCTCGTTTCTGGGCTGGAAGCCCAGGGAAAGAGTCAGGTTCACGTAGGTCGCTGTGCAGGAGTCGGATGGAGGTTTTATTGGATCTGGCTCTGGCTGATCGCAGCATTAGAGATGTGTGGTGCAATTAAGGCTGAGCAGAATTTCTTTAAGTTCCTTTTTTTAATTTCCTTAGCGGGTAGTATTAAAATTTCCTGAAACCTGTATTATCTTTCAGCATCCCAAAGCACAGTGAAGTGTGTGTTATAATAAAGTGTGTGTATTTAGCTCCCTGTGCCTCAGTTGAAGTCAAATTTTACCAGAGATGACTTCATCTTCAGAGCCACAGTGCAGTGCTGATGTAAGAGAAACAATCATAGTGCCACAGAATGTTTTGGGTGGAAAGGGACATTAAAGGCCCTCCAGTGCCACCCCTGCCATGGCAGGGACCCCTCCCACTGTCCCAGGTGCTCCAGCCCCAATGCCCAGCCTGGCCTTGGGCACTGCCAGGGATTCAGGGGCAGCCACAGCTGCTCTGGCCACCTGTGCCAGGGCCTGCCCTGACACAAGGAACAATTTCTTCCTATATCCCATCCATCCCTGCCCTCTGGCAGTTTAAAGCCATTCCCCCCATGTCCCATCACCCCACCCCCTGTCATTTGTCTCTCTCCAGGTTTCCTGCAGTCCCTTCAGGCCCTGCAAGGCCACCCTGAGCTCAGCCCAAAGCTTCTCCTGTGCAGGTGAACAATGCCAGCTGTGCCAGCCTTTCCTCCCAGCAGAGCTGCTCCATCCCCAGCATCATCCTGGAGCCTCCTCTGGGCTCTGCAGCAGCTCCAGCTCCTCCCTGTGCTGGGATCTCCCAGAAGGGAGAACAGATTTAATGGCTGTCATTTTGTGCACAGAAGAATTCTGGACAGGGTGGCAATGCTTTGCTGTCATGGCATAAGGAGGAAGGATGTAAGAAAAACAATTTGCTTCTTCAGCAAATAAATTTTAAGTCACTGCCACCTCTGTTTCCCTTCCTGTCCAGTTGTGTCGTGAATTATTGAAATGTGCTGGCTGAGAAACAATGACATCTCCTCTGGGGAAAGTAGAGACTTGACACAGCATCTGTTGACCCAGACTTGGTGCAGGAGCCCTGACCTGAAGAGATGTCCTTACTTCTCCATGCATGTGCAGCTTTATAATTAAGAAATGTCCAGCACAGAAGTGTAGCCACGTCTGTAATGAAATGTGGCACTGGTCTGAGGAAGGGATGTCAAAAAATAAATTATCTCAGGAAAACAAGATGCATTTTTAATTGGCAGAGTGTGATCAAATAAGACTCTTAGAGATGATAGAATTACAGGGATTTAATGAGCTACCCTGAGCTGAGCTCAGAGGTTTGTAGCAGCAAGGTCCAGCTCAGCCCTGGCATGGAGCAGGAGGGTGCTGCTGACTGTTTGTGCTGCTGTAACACAGTCTCATCCCTCCACCACATCTCTGAAACTCCGCTTTGGGCTTTTGGCTGAAGATAATCCTAATTTCCAGTTACTATTGCACTAATCCTCAGCTAGGACTGGGCTCAACCTTAGTTCCCCACTCAGGTAGAGAGTGCTGGCTGTGAGCTGCTCTGTGGGGCAGTGGCTGAGCACGGGGCAGGAGCCAGCCCAAAATGCAGATTTGGCTCCCTCGGAGCTGTGCTGCTCACGTACTCACAGCACCCCAGTCTTATGAGAGCTGACAAGGTCAGGGACCTGTGGCACAGCTCTCCACATGGAAATAGCAGCTTTAGCTGTGAAGGCCAGCGTGAGGAGGATAGCCTGTATTTTTATGCTTGACCAACCACAGAGGCTGTTCAAATTTTAAAAATGCATCCTGCAGTTTGCCTTGCCTGGTGTCCTTTGTCACCTCCAGC